CCAACCCTCCCAGTACCATTCATTGAAGAGGGTGTCCTTTCCCCAGTGTGTTTCTGTCGGCTCTGTCAAAGATCAACTGGCTGTGAACGTGTGGCTGTGTTTCTGGGTTCTCTCATCTGTCGCATTGATCTAAGTGTCTAGTTTTATGCTAGGATTATACTATTTTGGTAACTACGCACTTGTCAAACATTTTGTAGTTGTAATTTGCAGTGTAATGGGATGCCTCTAGTTTTGCTGTTTTTGCTGAGGATGACTTTGGGTCTTTGAGCTCTTTTTTTTTTTTAGTCCTTTTTTGTGAATTTTAGGACTTTCCAATTCTGTGAGTGGTGACATTGGTATTTTGGTGGGGGTTGTATTGAATCTCTAGACTGCTTAGGGCAGTGTGGTCATTTTAATGCTATGAATTCCTACCATGAGCATGAAATGATTGTCCATTTCTTTCTCTCCTCTTAAACATTTTCTCAGTGTTTTGTAGTTTTCCTTGTAGAAATCTTTCACCTCCTTGGTAAAATTTCTTCTGTGGCATACATTTTTCCATTTTGTTGCTATTGTAAATGGGATTGCCTTCTTAATTCTTTCCCAACCAGACCATTATTGGTGTATAGAAATGCTGCTGATTTTTGCTGTTGTTGTTGTTGTTGATTCTATATCCTGCAAATAGCTGTATTAATTTATTTATCAAATCTAGGAGTTTTCTGGTGGAGCCTTTACATGTTTCTAGATCTAAATCACATCTTCATCAGACAAGGATAATTTGATGTCCTCTTTTCCAATGTGGATGCCTTTTACTGTTTTCTCTTGCCTGATTGTGTAATGTCGAATAGGAGTGGTGAGAACCGGCATCCTCATCTTGTTCCTGTTTACAGAGGAAAATGCTTTCAACTTTTCCCCATTGGGTAGTAGGTTAGCTATGGCTTTGCCATATACAGCTTTTATTGTTTTCATGTATTTTTTTAAAATTTTTGTTTTTTGAGACGGAGTCTCACTCTTGCTACCCAGGCTAAAGTGCAGTGGCATGTTTTCGGCTTACTGCAAGCTCCACCTCTGTGGTTCACCCATTCTCCTGCTTCAGCCTTCCGAGTAGCTGGGATTATAGGCGCCCGCCACCACACCAGGCTAATTTTTGTACTTTTAATAGAGATGGGGTTTCACCACGTTGGCCAGGTTAGTCTCAAACTCCTGACCTCAGGTGATCTACCCACCTCAGCCTCCCAAAGTGTTGGGATTACAGGCATGAGGCACTGCGCCCAGCCCGGCCATTTTCAGGTATGTTTCTTCTATGTCTAGTTTGTTTGTTCCTTCTTTCAAGACATGGTCTCACTCTGTCTTTCATGTTGGAATATAGTGGCACCATCAGAGCTGCAGGTTTGAACTCCTGGGCTTAAGCCACCTCAGCCTTCTGAGTAGCTGAGACTACAGGTGCCTGTCACCAGAGTGGGCTAGTTTTTATTTTTATTTTTTTTTGTAGAGATCTCTGTTCCTCAGGTTGGCCTTGAACTGTTGACCTCAATTGATCCTCCCAGCTCAGCTTCCCAAAAGCACTGGGTGGACAAGCACGAGCCACCGCTTGGCGCAGAGTCACATTTTAACATCACATCCTCATTGCTGGGCTCAAGTTTTGGCAGTGACTGAAAACCCTAAAGGAGAGTCTCTGGTCAGGCCCGGCCCAGTCTGTGCATAGGAGGGGAATGGAAAAGTGGCCCGTGGATGGTTCTTTTGGAGAACTGGCCAGACAAGCACTGAGATGCCATTTCATGGAATACAGGGCCATATGATGTCCAGCCCAGCTGCCAGGTCCAGGGCCCTCGCCACCGTCTAGTTTGGGAGCTTATGCAGAGGTGGCCTCGGTTGCCCAAAGCAGCTGGTCTCCCTTCCGATCTGGTCCCATTTGAGAGATGCAACTGGGCCCCGTCTTCCAGGAAAACATTTCAGTGTGTGCCTGTCTTTGTCCCCGCACTGGCTGGCCTCTCTGTACCGTGAGAACTTGGGTTATGCAAGGCTCTGCCAGTCAGCTGAGCATCACGAAGCAGCTCTCTTCTGTTCCAGTGAGGCCGACCAGGCTCCAGCACCCCTGCCCCGGGTCTGACTGTTCTCCCCCCACCCGGAAGTGACCCCCAACCCGATCCCGCTCCCTGTCTTCTGGCAGCTGCTCTGGGGAGGGGCATTTTGGCCTCAAGGGCTTAGCGTGTCATTTTCTGTTTTCTGTTTATCTTTCCAGAGCTGTTTGGGACAGCCCATGCGTCAGTCCATGTACTGCTTCTTTGGAAGGCAATCGGGGCTTTCTTTCAGGGGTGGGTATAAAAGTTCTTGTGGCTGGGTGCAGTGGCTCACGCCTGTAATCCCAGCACTTTAGCAGGCCGAGATAGGCAGATCACGAGGTCGGGAGATGGAGACCAACCTGGCTAACATGGTGAAACTCCATCTCTACTAAAAATACAAAAAAATTAGCTGGGCATGGTGGTGGGCACCTGTAGTCCCAGCTACTTGGCAGGCTGAGGGAGAAGAATGGCAAGAACCTGGGAGGCGGAGCTTGCAGTGAGCCGAGATCGCGCCACTGCACTCCAGCCTGGCAACCAAGCAAGACTCTGTCTCAAGAAAAAAAAAAAAAAAAAAAAAACTGTTACTGTGACATTTGTGTATGAAATCAGCCTTTGCTACATGGATAGGACCAGCACGCTTCCGCGGCATGACTCTGCAATCTTACTTATCTTTTTTTTTTTTATTTTGTATTTTATTTATTGATTTCTTTTGAGACAAAATCTCACTCTGTTGCCCAGGCTGAAGTGCTGTGGCACAATCTCGGCTCACTGCAACCTCCATTCCTGGGTTCAAGTAATTCTCATGTCCCAGCCTCCCAAGTAGCTGGGACTACAGGTGCACATCACAACACCCGGCTAATTTTTGTATTTTTAGTAGAGATGGGGTTTTGCCACATTGGTGAGGCTGGTTTCGAACTTCTGACCTCAGATAATCAACCGGTCTTAACCTCCCAAAGTGCTAAGATTACAGGCATAGACTTATTTATTTATTTGAGATGGACTCTTGCTCCACTGCCCAGGCTAGGGTGCAGTGGCATGATCTCAGCTCACTGCAACCTCAGCCTCCCAGCTTCAAGTAATTCTCCTTCTTCAGTGTCCTGAGTAGCTGGGATTACAAATGCCCGTCACTGCACCTGGCTAATTTTTGTATTTTCAGTAGAAATGGGGTTTCACTGTCTTGACTAGGCTGATCTCGAACTCCTGACCTCATAATCCACCTGTCTTGGCCTCTCAAAGTGTTGGGATTACAGGCCTAAGGCACTGTGCCTGGTCACATTTATTTATTTGTTATATAGAGACAGTGTCTCTCTCTGTCACCCAGGCTGGTGTGCAGTGGCACCATGTCAGCTCTCTGCAGCCTCTGCCTCTGGGGTTCAAGCGATTCTCATGCATCAGCCTCCCGAGTAACTTGGACTGCGGGTATGTGCCACCAAGCAGGGATAATTTTTTCTATTTTTTTGTGGAGACAGGGTTTCACCATGTTGGCCAGGCTGGTCTCAAACTCTTGGGCTCAGGTGATCTGCCTTCCTCGTCCTCTCAAAGTACTAAGATTACAGGCATGAGCCACTGCGCCCGGCCTCTCACTACATTTAAATGATGCAGTGGTTCATGCCTGTAATTCTAGCACTTTGGGAGGCCAAGACAGGTGGATCAACTGAGGTCAGGAGTTCAACACGAGCCTGGCCAACACAGGGAAACCCTGTCTCTACTAAAAATACAAAAATTAGCCAGGTGTGGTGACATGAGCCTGTAGTCCCAGCTACTTGGAAGGCTGAGGCAGGAGAATCACTTTAACTGGGAGGTGGAGGTTGCAGTGAGCCAAGATCACACCACTGCACTCCAGCCTGGGTGACAGAGTGAGACTCCATCTCAAAATAATCATAATAATAAAATGCCTGATGCCAGGGCATCTCGGCCTGGGTGCCTGCACGAGCACAGCCATGTCCAGGCCAGGGCTGCCGGTCAAGGTCCAGCCCCATCTTGTCCAGCAGAAATGGAGCGAACTTGCGGGGCCCAGGCTAGGGTACAAGATCCCAGGATCTCAGCCTCTGCTCATGGATCAGCTCTGAGACCCTGAGTGAGCTGGGGTGCTCTCTGCTCATTGGTTTCCCTGGCTGTCAAGTAAAGGGATTGGATGAGGAAGTCTCATCAAGGTGGAATGATCTCAGATTTGGGGCAGCAGTGAATGATCCCGCTCCCTGGGTCATGCCAGTGGTCCGGCCTCGGCTGAACACAGCCCCAGCATCTGGAATGGGGATGAGGGGGCAGTCAGCTCTTGCTCCTAGTAAGACAGATGCAATAGGGCTCTGTGGCTGAGCTGGGTGCATTTCCTTACACCTGTAATCCCAACCTTTTGAGAGGCCATGGTGAGAGGATTGCTTGAGGCCGGGAATTTTGAGAATAGCCTGGACAACATAGCCAGACCCCATGTCTACAAAATAAAAATAATAATAATAAAACAGGTCAAATGGCACACAGCTCTAGTCCAAGCTATTTGGCAGGCTGAGGCAGGAGGGTCCTTTGAGTCCTGGGATTGGAGGCTGCATTGAGCTATGATGGCACCACTGCACTCCAGCTTAGGTGACAAAGTGAGACCCTGTCTCGAAAAGAAAAAAAAAAAAATTGTCCTGTGAGCGTGGGTTTGATTTTCTTTTTTCTTTTCTTTTTTTGAGATGGGTTCACACCATTCTCCTGCCTCAGCCTCCTGAGTAGGTGGGACTACAGGCACCTGCCACCATGCCCAGCTAATTTTTTGTATATTTTTGGTAGAGATGGGGTTTCACCGTGTTAGCCAGGATGGTCTCAATCTCCTGACCTCATGATCCGCCCACCTCGGCCTCCCAAAGTGCTGGGATTATAGGCGTGAGCCACCGTGCCTGGCCGGGTTTGATTTTCAAACAGGACCAAGAAGGCAGGGGACAGAGAGTGCAGTCACCCTTAGGTGCCGAACACTCAGAAACGGGCCAGCGGCAGCCCTCACCTCACCTGCAGACACCAGATTGGGCAGAACAGCACGTGGCACTCACAGCTCTTGCAATGAGAGCAGAACCCAGTGTGGACCCTTCTGCCTGTGGGAGGGGCTGCTGAGGCCTGCGGAGAGGCCAGGCTGGAGGCTCGTCCCCTTGTCCAGCCCTTGGTGTGGTCTCTGCCAGGTCCCCAGCCCACCAGTGCAGGGCGCCCCTGAGCCTGCTGCTGCCACGGGCCTGTCTCTACCCAGGACGTCCCCACACCCTCGCAGTGTCAGGGAAATGGTCATGGTGGCGGTGACACTCCCCAGGCAGGACTGTTGAGAGAAGCTGAGAAGGGTCACACTGCAGGCAGGGGCCCGTGTGACAAGCCCCTCTCACCCCGAGAGAGCTGACCAGGCAGCTCA